ACACTCTGATGACTTGAGCCAATGATGACTCTTCGTTCTTGATACGATGGGCTTCGTCGATGATGATATACTCCCAGGCAAACTTCTTCAGGTGGGCCTTCTCCCTGAGAATCATCTCGTAACTGGTGATGCACACATCGAAGTTCTCGTCCACCAGGCGATCCTGGATGAGCTGTTGACGTTCTTCCTTGGCGCCCTGCAGTACCAGTACGTTCACCTCCGGTGTCCACTTGGCGAACTCTCGTTTCCAGTTGTCCAGGGTCGATTTGGGAACAATAACCAAATGGGGGCCGGTAATATCCATGATGTGCCGAAGATAACCCAAGAAGGAGATGGTCTGTAGTGTCTTTCCGAGACCCATTTCGTCGGCCAAGATGCCCGAAATACCGTTTTCATGAAGGGAGATCAGCCAGTTGAGACCAGCAATCTGGTAATCCCTCATGGTGCCTTGAATGAAGGCAGGCGACTCGCGGAACACGGTTTCGGCGGATCCACCCACTTTCTCGTCCTTGAGCAACTCGGCGTCTTCCTCGGCTTCGGTCCGGCGACGCCTCTCGCTAGTAGCACCGCCCTGGCGACCAGCGCCCTTCTTTGACTTTGCGTCCTCGGCATTCTGTCGATCAATTTCGGCCATAATCTCACGGATCTTGGGGTTCGGGTTTGTCTCGATGAAATGGCGGAAGAGGTCGGTCAGTCCGAGGAGGTAGCGGAATCTTCGGAGGGAATCATCTTCCTGAAGTCGAGTTAGGATCGCGACCAAGAGTGCGCTGGATATGGCGACGGAGGACCAAGAGTCGAGACGTAAGGATGCGCTGTTATCTTACCTTGGACTCTCCTAGCCTGTCATGCTTTTTGCCGAAAATGCTCCGTCGTAGTTGGTTGGCCTCGGATCGCTTCTTACGCCCATCTACTGGCTCGCCTGCGACGCTGCTCTCGGTAGTATTTGGGTTGGTATCGGAATCAGTATAGTCGGGCGTCTCATCGACCTCCTATATGGCCACGGTCAAACGTCAGTTCCACTGCCGTGCAACGCAGGGTGTGTTGGCGCAAGGGTGCATTTATGGAGAGGGTTAGGTAGACCTCATACCATCTCTGATGCGGGGACATTGGAAGTCTCTGGGGCGTCGGGCATTGACGCGTCGTCGTCGTCCTGGACGGGCTGTCGCGAACGTGGGGCCATGATGGCGGGGGGTTCTGCGATTGCTGTTGTGTTGTTCTTGGTTTTTGGTTGGAAAGTTGAACCGGAGACCGGACTGGAGAGGACCCCTGGCTTATATGGGCCAAAGGCACTTAAACGCGACTGGAACGCGCTTCGGTGGATGATGTCGGTTGCAGCGCAAGTCGTGCAAGACCGGATGCCTCGTTTTTGGGGTGAAATGTGTGATGGCCAGTGAGCTCGGGGTTGAACTGGCAGGTTGACGAGAGGGATGCGCGCGGTCTGGAAATGCTGTTTGTTGAAGGGTCAAGATGCCCGCCGGGTGGGAATTTCTCGAGAGTCGAGGATCCCAAATGGGCGAAACCGCGTCTCATTCGGCCAATCACAGGGTCCAGATAACGGAGGGGATCAAGTCGAGTGCCGGGCAGCTGAGAGCCTGAGACGCAGGCCTTTGCCGTCTGCCAGCCGGTACCCTGCCGCTTCACTTGGGCGATTTGGGTCCCTGTTTGGCTCGCACGCTAGGCGGTTTTGGGGCACTCTGACGTACGGAAGAGGTGAATGAACAAACCTCAACTTTTACACGGTTTTCTGTGTCGTGAATGTTGTAGAATAAGTATCAAGTCGGGTGTTTTGTTCAGCAGATGGAAGTACCTATACAGAGCGGGACCGGGTCACTTCAAAGGGAAGTCAAGGTATCGCCCGCAGTTCCAGGTTGCGCAGATGCCAAATTTGACTCCCGCTTGCACTAAAGCCGGTTAGTTCAGGCATCATAGCGTACCTACATATGTACATGGAGCAGGGGCTATTTGTGAAAGGCGAAAGCTCTCGTTGTTAAACTTTTATATTCACATCTACCTATCTCGAAACTCGTTGCTCATCACCTGCTCTACTATATTTAGTTTCTACCTTTATCATGGTTGAGCTCCGGGCTTGACTCTGACCTCAATTGTCCGTTCCCGTCCGACTGTCTGATCATTCCCGTGCACCTGTGATTCAATCTTTCCCTATCTACCGACACAGAGCGTAGAGGTGACTTATGTTCCGGGGACGCCACACCAACTGTCAAACACTGCATGGACTTGTACCTTGAGGTTTGGAATGTTTAGGTCAGTGTTTGGTTTTGACTAGAGGAACGTAGGGGTAACGCCTTCACGCGGGGGCATCACGCTCCTTGATCCTTGGTCATCGATTCCTTCTTGCTCATCCACCCTCGAGCCACCAGGACTGGAAGGTTCCACCAACAACGTCGAGTCGACAGCAAGGAAACCACGACAGGTTCAAGTGTCCTTAAGTTGTTCACACCGACGCCGGCTGCAACTCGAAACCCTCGATTACCCATCGAGGTTCTTGCAGCCTCGCCGGTTCACCGGCTGATGGCACCGTCACCTTGTAATGAGACGGCAAGGCCAAGGTAAAAATAACCGGAAGCTTGGGCATCATATAATGAGTATACTGTGTACACGTGCTTGCTTAAACATCACCGTCTCCATCCAATCGAAAGGGTCCAGACAACTCCCTCACTTCGCTTCGTATCCACTAGCAACGGAACAGACCCACATGCGATACTCCAGCAAAAACCCCTCCTGGCACTACCACCTCAGCCCCGAAAGACATCATTGCATTCCTCCTGACAAACCATCACCGACTCATCCAGCGGAGCTTTGTCATTCTTTGTTTTCATAAACCATACACTTGGCTACAACCATCGCAACAATCCTTTCGATCATAAGCGACATCCTACAACAAGCAAACAGCATTGCGTTTATTTCAAACCACGACCCTTTTTCATCAGTCCGCTGAAATGAGCGCCGACTCCCACGATTTGCTCGAAGCCTTCAAGGCAGCCGCCTTGTCAGTGACCAAGCTATACAAGACCACCGGTCCCGCCATCGCGAAGGCGCGTAGCGATGGATATCAAGACTGTCTCGACGATCTTCTCGCGTTCCTCGACAGGAGCCGTCTAGGCTTGAGTGACGGCGAAGGATGGATGATCCGGAGTTGGGCGACGGAGCGCTTGAACGACCGAAATCTTCCCACAATGGAGAGCGACGACGACAACCAGGTCGAGCCTGCGCTATCGCCCCAGGCGCAGTCTTCGGATCCAATCCAAGAGGAGGATCAAATGAGAGACTCGCCACCTGCCCCTGCTGTCTACGAACAACCTCCCCAACAGGAACAACCCCATGAGCACGAACAGCCGCAGCAGCAGGAGCACCATAACCAGCCAAACCAGCGACAGCCACCTTCAAACCCAGAGGACTTCCAGGTTGTGGTCCCAACACAAGAGACGTTCACCTTTCAATCGACACACCCGTTCCCCCACGAGGAGGCTATGAAGTTGGAGAATCTGGCGCTTTCCGATGCGCCCAGGAGTAACCGCTCCGTTTCAGCCTCAACACCGAGTGCGCGGAACAACAGGAACCGCGCCCTCAGGCAAAACGCTACGCGATCACTTGGCCGTGGCGCTGGACAGAAGCGAAAGGTGGTTGATCTTTCAGAGTTCTTCCGAATCGACAACTTTGGACCTGGCGGCAACGGAAATGACAAGGATCCCTTCAACCCGACCTCGAAAAGAAGCCGCCACACTTGAGCTGTTGCAAGAGATACGACGGCGGAACGAAACTCCCTTTCCTCCTTCGCTACAAATAGAACGACAGATGCCTCACGGCTTGAGATCCATCATCAGCATCATGAGCATACGGCAGTACGAATTTGGGCTTCTTCATCATGGCGGTGCGGGGGGTTTGACATAACCAAAGCGGCAACTTTTTGCATTTTCTCTGCGGTGTCAAGGGACTGGCCAAGCGTAAACCGGAGGAGGATCATTCGGCATTTCATCATGGGAGAAATCCGGGTTTGGGCTCGGCTTAGGGAAGGGAATTATCATTTTCATGGACAAAGGTAGCGATTTTGCATCTAGTTGGCGTTGGAACACCCCATTATACCATAAAGACGTGTGTAACATTGTACTTTTCTTTTCTTTTCTCTATTTTGCTCGGAAATGCGTTTTTCTTGTATTTGGTTCTCTTGGAGCTAGATTCTTGCACGGTGAAAGGTTTAGCATGTTTTTTTCCGTCGGTGGTCAATACACAGGGGACTGCTTCGGGATATACTCGTAAAGACATGTCCCAACTTTGTGGACTCGTGTATCATAATCAGATGGATGGATGGGTGGGCTCCCTGCGTTCATCGCTCTGCCTGGCGCTGGAAGCGAGGTTGTACTTAATGGGATTGAAGAATATGGCGGTTCTTTTCACAAACGGCGGAGCACTGTGGGCAGAGAGAGGCATAATGATACCCCTTTCTGTCTATGGATGGCACATGATGTTGATTTAAAGCTGTACCCGAGCAAGTTCCATCCGAAGGCGACCTGTTTGCACGTTGACTCCCGTCCCTCGTGGATGGAGCCGCTTTAAAGGTTCACAACACTAGATGATTCTGAGGTGATGAGAAAGTGAAATCAGATGTCAGATCTGCCTGACGGTGGCTCAGTCAAACAGCAAGTAACGGTTGACTATGTTTTCACCCTCGTGTGATTGCAAGATGATAATCCACTCCCACTGTCTCCCAAAAACTTGGATGACATTACCGGCCCTGACGCAGACAAACAACCACTTTGCATCTTGTACGAACCGATTCAAATCGCAAAGGCCATCCATCCACCACTCAGAGTAAACAGTACAACAACCCCATTGGTTATCATCCCTATAATATAGCTCTATTAAATCTGTTAGTCATTATCTATCAATCAAATCTGAATTTCTACACACATCAACGGTCCCTCGAAGCGACAAAAAGAAATCGAGATGAACAGCCGAAAAAGGGGGAAAGTACAAAAAAAGAGGGACCCGCACCGGACTCGAACCGGCACACTTCGTTTTCTACTTGGTAGGGACTCCCGAAGGTACTGACCACTGCACCAGCGGGCCATGTGAGAAGAGGAGAAGGGGGTGGGTTATATAGGCAGGTGCGGATGGATAGGCGTTTGGAGGGGCGGACGGGATCCGGCGGAAGGAGCGAGGGACTGGGAGAGACCTGAAGTTTCAAGGAAGGTGCGGTGGATGGGATGGGATGAAAATACCTGTACGACTGGGGAATGGGAAGGATGACGCGGGAAAGGGAAGCACTGGTGAGTCTTGCTGGGAAGGTGAAAGCAGTTACAACCCCACATATGGTATACCTTCAAACGGACGAGTTGCTTCAATATGGAAACACTGACTAGAGGTAGACAGGCAGTCTTCAGTTGTTTATGTGATTCTGAACTCTGGATTTCTTGTTGCTGACGGGAGGTTAGAAACTCGGGCCTGATTTATTGACCTGTCAGGCTCCTACCTACTGGTCTCGGTTGAATCTCACCTCCGTTCTTATCTTGCATGATGCAACGCGCTTACCTGGATTGACGGCCAATTCTTCTCGCTCTCCATAAGGGAGGTATGCTGCCCTCCATTGATACCTCTAGTTTTTGAGGTTGTTCTTGCCTCCTCAAAGTTCCTGGTGCCTGAGGTAGTTTGGGACCTACCCGTAACCTTTCCAAAACATGTTCAAGATTCAGATAGTTAGATACTACTCAGTTTTCAGCTTATTCTTCATGGCTCACTCCTCTCATCCTCATACTTGACTCCAGCTGTTAGCCCTCAGTCCGTTCATCTCACATCGCCTAGACGGCCCCCATTCGCAACTCTTGTACCATGGAAACAATGGCAGAGGCTGATCCAGGAAGTCCTTCCCCCCCCCCCCCCCCCCCCCTCAACACAAAAATCTTGACAGCACAACCAGACGAAGGAGGAAGAGCCGACCAGCTTTCCTTATACTCTTCCTCGTCCCAGCATGGCTTCTTCATTCCCCAATCATCATCATCATCGCCATCGGCGGCACTATCCTGGGACCATCGTCGACTTCGTGTCCAAGCCAAGTCATTCCTCTCGTCCAAAACAAAACACTACGTCGTCCTAGCCCTGGTGGCAGTGGACATGGCCTCCATCGTGGCGGATATCTTTGTAGGACTGGTTGCCTGCGACTTAAACCAGAAGGGTGCGAAATGGGTGGCGGAGACGAGGGAGGGTTTGCATGTGTTTGGGACGGTGGTCAGTTCGTTGTTTATGGTTGAGTTGGCGGGGATGGTTTGGGCTTTTGGTGCTGGGTGAGTTATATTCTATAATTCCTTGTCCGGCTCTTCAAAACGTGATGGCTGACTATGTTGGATACCCGTGTGCACTTGTAGCTTCTTTGGAGCGTGGTTCCACGGGCTGGACGCCACGGTCATCGTTGCCAGCTTTGCGGTGGATGTTGTCATGTTGGCGATGCATGGGAACAATAGTATTGAGGAGATTGCGGGGCTGATCATTGTCTTGGGTCTCTGGAGGTTTATGAAGATCACTGAAGAGCTAAGTGTTGGAGTGTCTGAGGGGATGGAGCAGATGAGGGACTGGGTCGAGGAGCTGGAGAGGGAGAATTTGGAACTGAAAAGAGAATTAACGGACCGGTGTGGTGCGCGTGAGGTATGAGAGGAAAGTTGAACTTAGAAAAGGCATTGCTGTGAACGGATATTTAAAAGGTCACGATGAAAAATGGGTGGAAGTCTGAACGAGAAAGGGTCATGGACAAGTGTCATAGACTGACGCGAATATTTGCAGACTAGGCTTTGACTAGAGCTATCTGTTTACCAAGCGTGTTTGACACGATAGTATCTATAGACCATCTACGATGTCATAATTTCATTGTAGACTCGTCATGTTAAGATGACTGGTGTAAAACATAATTTAAAATCACGGGAATGGTCCCGGTATTTGGTTGGTGTAATTCCGGAAGGGATCACCAACAGTTTGGCGCCAGGTTTGATAAGTAGGTGTGACGCCGTATTCAGCGGGTTACACATCGTATGTGCGTCCGAACATCCAATTGTCCAACTGCCGTGCAAGGGCGTGCGGTGGGTGGGTGGAGGGAGAAACCTCAAGGTGCAGCATCCCTACATCTTGTTAAGGTTGGAGTAAGGTAAGCAAGTGTAGATTGTGGATGGATCGCCCGAACCGAACCGCGGTGCAGTGTTGATCCGTGATCTGCGTGAGGCTCTTCTCGGTCATCCCAACTTTGATCTTATATCTTCAAGCTTGCTGAGGTATTGTCCCAGTGGACTCCATGGCTCTTAACTATCCGGGTCGTTGTTCGGCGTCGGTAACACAATGGAAGCCTAGTCTAGCCCTCGTATATTTGATTCACTTGTGAGATGCGAGGTGCGTCTCCTGACTATTCTTGTAGACTCCGGGAGATGTATGCACCGGTAGTGTACGCGAAACTTTCGAGAATCAATAAAAAGGTGCGTGATTCCCCGGAAAACATCCAAGCAAAGGTCCGTGGAAAAGTCGAGGGAAGCTGTCAGGACCCGTTCCGGCGCCAAGAGCCCCGGTCTCCCGTGTTCATCTGACCTCGGATCCGGCCGCGGCTTTACCGCGAACATTTTGGGGCTTCCATCGATTCGTGCTTGAGGTTGGGGCTTCTCCACTTGGCACTTTGGCAGCGGGTGGCAGGCAGGCCTGCATTGCATTCGCTGCTGCGGGAGCGGTGCATTGCGGCCGATTGGACTGCCACTGGCGAATCACCACGCTCCCTACTTTCATTTCGTTTTTATGCATGTAGTGTCCAGAGACGACGGAAGTGCGGTGCATGTGTTTCCATGATTCCAGCGAGGCAGGCGAGAAGATGAATGGCAACCACCAAACCTTCAAAAAGCCTCTCTATCTTGGATTAGATCAGTCAGGTCGTCGTCGGCGCTCTCAGCTCTCCTCTGACCTCTCGACCTGGCGGAATGGTACCACATGGCGGGGAGACTGTGGATTGTGGAGGGAGAAGCTGTTATGGGTCGATAGCGATCAGTCCTGATGGATGGAGCCCAAAACGCGGGAGCGCAGGAAGGAAGAGCGAGGATCGCGATTTTAGCGTGGTCGTCAACTCCAGCGGGCCATCTCTTCTTCAGTTCTTCTCTCACCCAAACTCAAAACTTGACCTTCATATGTATCTCCATGTTTTCAGTAAAATGAACATCGGCTCTTGTGACGCACAACTTCCATGGAAAACAGGCAAAAGAGGCGTTCCTGAGATTAAATTGCGGCTTAAGACTGCATCTCGGTCATGCTCAACCTGGACTAGCGCCCTTTACTTTGATATGCTAAACTGACCGGGGTTCGCTCGGGTTGAGTTTGGGTTGACATTGGATGCTCCGGGGAAACTCACGACGAACGAACTCCCACAGGAGAGAGCTGCCTACCGCCTTCCATCAGCATCAACACAACACAATGGCTTTGACAGGGACCGGGGCTCTGAATGGACTCACTTCCCACTTCTAGGCACGCTAGCCAGAATTCCCCAGGTTCTCGGACCTTCTCGTCAACCACTCGTTTCTCTTCCTCTCCCCCCCCCCCCCGTCCAGTTACTTTTCTCTCTCTACCCTTGACAACAACCCACACCGCGTGTCCACTCCCTTTTCACACCATCTCACTCTCTCTTCGCTCTCTCTCTCTCTCCACCGCTGCGACCGTTTTATTGCCTGTCAGGTATCCTCCCTCTTCAATATCATTGGAAGAGAAAAACCAGAAGAGCCTAGGAAGAAGGCAATCATCCAATCGTTTCTGTCTAGACTACTACCTATCTACCGGCCCGGCCTTCTTCTTAAATACAAGATCTCCTGATCCCTTCCCTCCTCCGCTGCCACTGGACCTTTTACTCTTACTTTTATTCTCTCGCTCATCCGCCGTTGCCGTGAAGAAGTCTCTCTCTTCGTCTTCCTCTCGTTCCAGTCTTCAAGCCTTAATACTCTAATAACCAATAATTACACACCCAAAACCGCCAAAATGAAGGCCGCTCTCGTCCCCCTCGTCGCCATGTTCGCCGTCGCCGCGGCCCAATCCACCGCCTGCGCCGCCGACTACATCGTTGAGACCTGCCTCGGCACCCAGAGGAGCCGCTTCGAACTGTGCGACCGTGAGGACTACGGCTGCAGGTGCACCGAGGCTGCCAGCATCATTGCCTGCTTCGACAACTGCCCCAACGACGTTCGCAAGTGTATGTTCATCTTCTCCCTTTCCCTCTCTGTCTTTTTTTTTTTTTTTTTTTTTTTTTCCTTTAAGGTTCTCAAACTAACACACATCCTCCAAAATTTAGCCACCGCCGTCGGCGAGCGTGACACCTGGTGCGCCCTCAACAAGCAGTTCCCATCCACCACCGCCAAGGCGCCCGCCCAAACCTGGACCGACACCGCCGTTACCGCTCCTACCGCTACCGCCGGCGCCGGTGCCGACAGCAACAAGGAGGAGTCCGGAAGTGACCCTACCGAGACCGATAAGGACGAGTCCTCTTCTTCCTCCAGCGCCGCCCCTTCGAGCTCTCCGACTGATAGCGCCGCCGGCGCCGTCCTTGTGAACGCCGGTGGCTTGTTGGCTGCTGTTGCTGGTGTTGCCGCTGCTATGCTTTAAAATCTTTTTCTTTCGGGCTAAGAAAGAGGTTAGAAGGCGATAAGCTGGATTTGATCGATTGAACATTAATCATCCATCCATCATTTTCGGCAATTCATTTCATCCTTGCGTGGGGGTTTTTTGAAGCGCGTTTGGTTAAAAGGGGCGTCAAAAAGAAAGCACATGTTGTTGCCTGTTTGGAGTCAAACTTGATGGTTTGTGTGGAAAGGGGCAAGCGGATGGTGGCTGACTTGGGGGTTATGCGATTGAGCTGCAAGTGGTGCGGCACGGGAACTCACCTGAGAAATGGGAGAACCCGTCTTGCAGACACGGCACTGTGACAACTTCATGTCAGCCACAACCCAATTGCAGGTTCACAAGGGGGGCACTGCACGGAGGGACGTTGGGGTGCTTGGTGAATTCTGGGTAATATTTAATGAGGCACCATGATATATCAATGTCTGAATGAACATGACATTCTTCTC